CATAGCTGCTATTTATTGAGGGCCTACTATGCTTTGGACACAGGGAGAAGGCAGGAAATGATAATTTCCATTTATAATGGGCCAGTGTCTCAGTTTCAATATACATTTTGATTTTAACTCTTTAGTTAATCCTGCAAGGGATACAAGATTATCTCCACATTGATAGATGGTACAACTAAGTCCCAGAAAGGGCAAGAGACTTGCCCAGGGTCACCTATGAATAAAGATCAGAATTAGGACTTAAGCCCAGGCCCATTTGTCCCCAGGGTTGAGTCTCCCCACTCCACCAAATTGTCACCAAGCAATATGTGCACAAACTAAATAACAGACAGAAAAGCCCTTTTCCTAGCCCAAATTTCTCTGCCCAGCCCTGTCCACCATACGCCCCACTCTCACCAGCATGTCCAGACAGCTGGACCCAAGGGTAGTGTTTTCGGAAAGAGACCACGAAGGGCGAATACTTCAGAACTGTCTTCAGCTTCTTCCATGGTTTGCTCTGTGTGGGGCAGAGCAGGGTGGGGTCAGGGTCAAGGCCAGGGAAGGAAGGGGCCAGGGAGTGCTGTGATAAGAGGGAATGAAAATGGAACTGGGTTTTTCCAGGGCCAGGGATCTTCCTGGGATCACTGTTCCCAAGTTTTCTGGAATAAGTGAGCCCCCAAAGGCCTTGGCAAAGGTGAGAAAAGGTCTTTGTCCATTTCTCTCTCTCTCTCTCTCTCTCTCTGTCATCACTTCTGTGGTATCTGTCTCTCTCTGGCTTTCTCTTAGGAATAGGGATAGGCTAGGTTTGGTTATAGTAACAACCACCCAATCTTCCCCACTCCCCACATACGTAATCCCCAAACTTGGAAGCTCCATCTCTGCCACCAAACCAGGTTAGGACTTCTGGGAAAAATAGTGGATGGAGGCTGAAAACAGAATGAGAGAGGCACACAAACAGAGAGACAGATGACAAAGTGACAACAAAGGCAGGGACAGAGACAGAGACTGTGGCAGTCAAGAGAGCTATGCACCACATGGCTTTAGCTCTTCCACCTTCTAGAAATATTGCTGCCCTCTTGAACTGAGGTTATTGACTTGCTCTGGACACCAAACTGTGAGTAGAAGTGTCACTTTGGGGTTGACACCTTGAGCCAGTTTGTGACTCTATGTGTTCATTCCCTGTTGGGGGGCAGGGAGGTGGGGACTGTGAAAAGAATGGGAGGTCCCTCAGCCTGGGCCCCTGTGTGAAGACAGCCTGGAGCACAGCCCCTCACCCATCACTGACCCATGGCCAAGGTGTGTAGGAACCAAAGATTTAAAGGCTGCTTGTTACTACAGTAAATCCTGGTTCACCCTGACTAATACAGAGGCCAGTGCAAAGTGGCCAAAAAAAGAAAGTCAGAGGAGGGACACAGATAAAAAATAATGACAAAACAAAAAGATGAATAGAAGCAGATAAACAGGGTGGTGCCTGTGGCTCAAAGGAGTCGGGCGCTGGCCCCATATGCCGGACGTGGAGGGTTCAAACCCAGCCATGGGGCTCGGCGCCTGTGGCTCAAGCAGCTAAGGCGCCAGCCACATACACCTAAGGTGGCGGGTTCGAATCCCCAGCCCGGGCCCGCCAAACAACAATGATGGCTGCAACCAAAAAATGGCCAGGCGCTGTGGCAGGCGCCTGTAGTCCCAGCTACTTGGGAGGCTGAGGCAGGAGACTTGCTTAAGCCCAGGAGTTGGAGGTTGCTGTGAGCGTGATGCCATGGCACTCTACCCAGGGGGATAGCTTGAGGCTCCGTCTCAAAAAAAAAAAAAAAACCCAGCCACGGCCAAAAACTACAAAAAAAAAAAAAAAAAAAGGAAGCAGAAAGAGATGCCTGACTGGGCGTTGGTAGTGCATGCCTGAAATCCTAGCACTCTGGGAGGCTGAAGTGGGAGGATAGCTTGAAGTCAGAAGTTGGAGACCAGTTAAGGAAGACTGAGATCCCATCTCTACAAAAAATAGAAAATATTAGCCAGGCATGGTGATAGTCCCAGCAACTTGGGAGGCTGAGGCAGGAGAACTGCTTCAGCCCAGAAGTCTGAGGTTGCTGTGAGCTATGATGACACCACTGCACTCTAACTAGGGTAACAGACTGAGACTTTGCATCAAAAAAAAAAAAAAAAATGGCCAGGCACAGTGGCTCACACCAGTAATCTGGGAGGCCAAGGTAGGTGGATTGCTTGAGCTCAGGAGTTGAAGACTAGCCTGAGCAAGAGCAAGACCCTGTCTCTACTAAAAACAGAAAAAACTAGCCTGGTATTGTGGTGGGCACCTGTAGTCCCAGCAACTTGGGAGGCTGAGGCAACAGTGTTGCTCGAGCCCAAGAGTTTGAGGTTGCTGTGAGCTGTGATGCCACAGCACTCTACCATGGGCAACAAGTGAGACTCTGTCTCAAAAAATAAATAAATAAAATATAATTATAAAAAAGAAAAAGAAGAAAACCAGAGAATCAAGCAGAAAACATTTAGATGTTTTATGCTAATTTGATCAAAAGCTTCTTGAGGCTTGGTGCCCATAGCTCAATGGTTAGGACGCCAGCCACATACACCAGGGCTGCCAAACAACAGTGACAACTATAACAAAAAAATAGCCAGGCACTGTGGTGGGCATCTGTAGTCCTAGCTACTTGGGAGGCTGAGGCAAGAGAATTGCTTATGCCCAAGAGTTTGAGATTGCTGTGAGCTATGACACCACAGCACTCTACCAAGCGCAACATAATGAGACTCTGTCTCAAAAAAAAAAAAACCTTCTTGAGACACAGTAGCATCTGATTGACAAACACACACACATGAATACACTGTGTGACCCAGTGTTCCAAGCAGATAGAAGCCCTTAGCAAGCACTGGGAGAGTGGGTCACCTCCAGAGAAGAAAGCCATGTGATTCATCCCCTTGTACCTCAGAGTCAAGAGCATGTCCTTCTTACTCCCTCAAATCACAGCTACCTGGCAGACATTTAACTGCCATTGGGAAGGGTAATAAGGAGTCAGGGTATGACACCTCAGGATTCAGGAAGGGCTAGTCGCTCCCTGCTCCAGCTGCCAGATGAGAAGAAGTGATTAATAAAAGTTCCTGTTTACTAAGCACCTGGAACATTCCAGGCACAATGACAAAAGATTCAATGTGTCGTAACCTACTTAAGTCTAAAAACACAACCCCAGGAAGATGGCTGTCTCTGTGTTACAGAGGAGGAAATGGGCTCAGAGAGGTGAATCTACTTGCTTAACATCACACAGCACAGAGCTGGGGTTGGAATTCTGGTCTGATCCCACTGTCTCAGGGCTTACCTGCTGTACCACAACTGGACAACAAGCTCATGAGGGCAGGGACTGGGCTGTTGTGGTCACAACTATGTCCCCAGAACATGGTCTAACACACAGTAAGTGCTCCAAAAACGTTTATTAGTTAAGACTGTTTT